AGGTCATATCTAGATGTATACATATATACACAACACCAAACTCAAGAAACAGAAAAAAAAAAATGAGGTACTGAAATTATCAAACACGAAAGTAACCATGCTTATTTTTAAGTTGAAAAAATAAGCAACGATCAGTGCATAATGACTGGAAACTATAAAAAATGACAAGGCAGATTTGAAAAACAACCAAGTAGTTATACCTGCAAGTCAAATATCTGAAGTTAATATTAGACAAAGCAACTATCAGACAAAGCAGAAGGGAACATTAGTGCATCAGAAGATATGTAAGAAGGAACATGAAAGAGGAGAAAATATAGAAAATAATATACAGAAGGAAAGGGTAAAAAAAACAGTGAGGAGATCTATCAGTTTTTGACTAGACAGCCACGAAGAAAGGAAATAAAGGTCAGAGGAACTACTTGAAGGAAGACAGACCAACAGAAAAGGAGACGGTCCAAAAACAGCTTCTTGAATACTTTATTGTACAAGCACCAATTACTAAAAATACTAACCATTTCACATCATTCTACAATGCCAAATTGGTCCCAAATTGAGTGTGTGTACAGGAAAAAAATAGGGCTCTTAAAAACAAAATCAGTTACATTCAGATCTAGATGTGAAGTACAAAACATTTTGTAAAAGATAATGTGAAATACCCTGATGTTTGGGTAGAGAAATGTTTCTTTAAGAAGACAAAATTACTATAGTTAAGAACTATGTAACCAAAAACCAGCATTAACAGGTCATACAAGGGGAAAATATCTGCACTATATCCAACAGACAACTTTTATCTAAAGAACAAAACAAAGCTGTACATCAGAAAAAGGCCATTCTCATAGGAGAGTAGACAGAATGTTCTCACATTTTAGCAAAGATGGAGCTCAAATATCGACAGTATTTAATCTCATTAATAAAGAACTTGATACAGTTTTGTTTAGGAAATGAGAAATTACATGCCATCTGGATGCCAGTAGTCGAATGCCATTTGGTCTTAGTCATTATGTTAATAGGCTTATATTAGAAAGTTGCAGAATATTATGTAGCATTCCTTTTTGTTAGAGTTACGTTGATCTATATGAGTGTATGTGATAATGTAGACACAACGAAGTCTGGGAATATTTCAGGAAGTGGCTGTATTTAGTTGATGGTGCACTTGAAGTTAGTCACGTGTCTCTTGTTTTTACTTTTTTATGTTTTCCAGTGTTTCTAATTGGAGCATGTATAGTTTTTACTAAATACATAATTGTATGTAATATGTATTATTTAATTACCAAAATATGGCAGTGCAGCCATTGCTTCATTATGGGAATCAGTTTTCTATTTTTTATTAAAATTTTCTTTTTTTTTTTTAAAGTTTTATTGATAAACAGCAATGAGACAGTTTTTAATCAAATCGGAAGTACAGTTTCAACAAATAATACACTGCATATATTCTTCTTAGTGGTTAATTGCTGTACAAGATGCGGACTTGTGATCCTATTTACAAACACCATTAGAACAAATCATTCTATTCATTAAGAGAATGCATCTATATATCTATCCCAACCTCTTTGAATACACAGATACAAAATGGACATTCATCGGTATACCCCATTTTTTCTAAGTTCCGTTATTGAATATTATAGGTGTGTAAACTCAGCAAAATATTCTAAAAGAGTCCAGTAGCCCATAATAGCATTGGGTCTTCTGTTTAACTGGCAATGTCAGAAATTATTGACCTGAGTCCCCCACAGCTCAACTTAACAACATGGCTTTATTTCTTATATTTCGACTTCATACTTTTCTACTGGATGGTTAAGCCCAAGGTAAAGCAGGACCTATGCAACAAGAGTTGTAGCTTTTGGGTCTGAGAAGGTCAGTGAAATGCCCTCAGGATTTGTTCTGAGATCCTGTACCTCAGATTGTAGAACCTTTGTCAGTGTCAGCCATGTGGATGAGTCACGGCCATGTGCTCTCTGTGCTCATTATGTTACTGCTTAATGATAAAAATATGCTGATGAATATTGGTGTAGCAGCAATAAAAAGTGTGGATTAGTATCAGTAGCTTAAAGATGTAGCTCTGGACCTTTACATTTTCTTTTCACTTAAATTGGTCATTTTATTTTTGTTTTCGCTGCAATTAATCTTGGTTTCTCTGTAATATTTCTTCTTTCCTATTTTCTGTAATGCTTCTAGAGAATTTAAATGTCCTTAAAATTTTCTTCCCTTTTTGCCAGTTTTGAATTTAGATACAGAGTTTAGAACTTTTCAAAGGTACACTATACAAATGTAAGCTATAAAAATTAAGAGCCTTTAGCATGTTAAATTTCCTTAAGGTTTGTTGTTGCAATTTCTAGATTTTTTTTTCATTAAAAAAAAGCCAGAATGCTCTCTAAAGTAGTGTACAAGTTAATTTGCAAAATGACATAAGGCATGCAGGTTAACAATGATGTATGGTTTTTATTTTTGTCATTTGTTTATAGCTTGTAGTGGATATTATTTCATAAATATCTAAGTATATAATGTGCTTGTTTTGCCACATCTGAGAAACTTAGATGTATTTTAAATTCATTGTACTAGTTAACTTGTATATGTATATGCCTTAACTTTATAATAGTCTTAAAATTACTGTTCTATTTACCCTTGTTTGGAAGTAATGGTAAAAACTGTAAATCAATATGCGTATATGGAAATATAGGCATACAGTGAGATACTATATAAGATGCTGTTTTGAATTTCTTTTAGCCAACAAATGGAATCTTCCTGAGCATGTTTCTGATTGTTTTGCCATTGGAATCTATGGCTCATGGACTCTTCCATGAATTGGGTAGCTGTTTAGGAGGAACATCTGTTGGATATGCTATTGTCATTCCCACCAACTTCTGCAGGTACTGTAGTGTAGCATAGTTTGTGGTAACTACTTAAATCAGTAACACTTTATTTATTAATCTTTATTTATTTGGTACAGGATCTTGCTATGCAGCTCAGATACGCAGCTCAGACTCCTAGTGATCCTCCTGTCTCACCCGTCCCAGGGCTGGGATTACAGGTGTGTGCCACCATGCCTGGTTTTGGTGGCTGGCTCTGCACAGGACCTGTGCAGCATGTGTCATGCGGTCCTGGGGATTGAACCCAGTCCTTTTACTTGCCAGGCTGGTGCTTAGACCACTGAGCTGTCTCCCTGGCCCAACACTTTAATAGTTATGTAATATTTAGAGCTTGTTTAGAATTATAATTTTTCAAAGTTTAATATTTAGTTTTATTACATCATCCCAAACTTTTAGAGACTTCATTTGCCTCCTCAAAAGTGGAAAATCTGTATGAAATTGTAAATATTGCTGCATTTTAATTTTTATTTATTTATTTATTTTCCTGAAGGTAATTTTATTAGTAGAGTTCTAAATACAAAAAAAAAAAAGGAAAAGATTATCAGAAATAACAAAGCTTCAGAAAAATCTTGACTATTGTAGTATCTTTTAAGTCTTATAAGTGTTGCATATACAATTTTAGCTCTTCAGAGCCGTCCACC